CCGATCATATTTTGATGGTGTCCCGGTCGTGTTGTGACGGTTGTGATTGTGTCCCAGTTATGTTGTGACGGTGTCCCGGTCATGTTTTAATGGTGTCCTGGTCATGTTTTGGCGGTGTGTCGGTTATGTTTGGATGGTGTCCGGGTCATGTGACGGTGCCCGGTCATGTTGTGATGGTGTCCTGGTCATCTTGTGATGGTTTTCCCGGTCATCTTGTGATGGTTTTCCCGTCATGTCATGTTGGTGTCCCGGTCACCTTGTGACTTGTGATGGTGTCCCGGTTATGTTGTGATTGTGACCCAGTCATGTTGTGACGGTGTCCCGGTCATGTTTTTGATGGTGTCCCGATCATGTGATGTCATGTTATGATGGTGTCCCGATCATGTTTTGATTGTGTCCCAGTTATGTTGTAATGGTGTCCCGGTCCTATTTTGATGGTGTCCCGGTCATGGATTGATGGTGTCCCGGTCATGTTGTGATGGTGTCCCGGTCATACTTTGACGGTGTCCCGGTCGTGTTGTGACGGTGTCCCGGTCAGGTTTTGATGGTGTTCCGGTCCTGTTGTGATAGTGTCCTGGTCATGTTTTGGCGGTGTGCCGGTTATGTTTTGATGGTGTCCGGGTCATGTGACGGTGTCCCGATCATGTTGTGATGGTTTTCCCGTCATGTCATGTTGGTGTCCCGGTCACGTCCCAGTCATGTTGGGACGGTGTCCCGGTCATGTTTTGATAGTGTCCCGATCATGGGATGTCATGTTGTGATGGTGTCCCGATCATGTTTTAATTGTGTCCCAGTTATGTTGTAATGGTGTCCCGGTCCTGTTTCGATGGTGTCCCGGTCATGGTTTGATGGTGTCCCGGTCATGTTGTGATGTTTTGATGGTGTCCCGGTCGTGTTGTAACGGTGTCCCGGTCAGGTTTTGATGGTGTTTCGGTCCTGTTGTGATAGTGTCCTGGTCATGTTAGTGTCCTGGTCATGTTTTGGCGGTGGGCCGGTTATGTTTTGATGGTGTCCGGGTCATATGACAGTGTCCCGATCATGTTGTGTTAGTGTCCCGGTCATGTTATGACGGTGTCCCCCGTCATGTTAGGATGGTGTCCCCGTCATATCATGCTAGTGTCCCAATCACCTTGTAATGGCGTCCCGGTTATGTTGTGATGGTATTTCAATCATGTTGTGACGGTGTTTCGGTCATATTTTGATGGTGCCCTAGTCATTTTGTGATGGTGTCCCGGTTATATAATAATGGTATCCCGTGCTGTAATAGTGTCCCAATTATATTGTGACGGTGTTTCGGTCATATTTTAATAATGCCCTAGTCATTTTATAATGGTGTCCCGGTTATGTAATAATAATGTCCAAAAAAGAGAAGGTCGATGTGTTAAAAATAGCAGCTGTTTCCAGATTTTTCTTTTTGTCCCGGTTTGTATCTTGCTATTAAGGTCTCCAGTTAGGCTAAATATATTAATATATTTCAATAAATATATTTTTTTTATGTTATAAATTATCTATATTTTCAACCAAATTATATTCCTATTAAATCATCCGAAATCCCAAAATATTCATTTCGTCCGTCCACGCCAATTCCAACCAAACCTATCGATTAATGTGCGTAATATTAATACTAAAAATATTATATAAAGAGATTCTAAATATGTATTTGTAATTATATTAATAAATATGTGTGTACATAGTTGTTATATTAATAGTTTTATATATTAGTATTGTCATTATTTCATTCAATAAATAAGAGGAATTTGTCTGCTATTTGCAGGAAATTCTGCAAATAGGTATCAAATTTGGCCTCCCATTGATAGAAGCAAATCATAAGGTCATTGATGATTGGATGTGTTCGTCATAATGGCGATTCTGTTATATTTCAAAATATGTCAAAACCATTCCCCTCATTTCCCCTCCATCTTTTCCTTCTCCTTCTTGTCGCTCAACAACACGCTGTTGCTGACCATCAACTCCTCGGCAAAAGCTATGGCTTTGTAAACACAATTTCATGCGATTATACTAATACTTTTGTACACACATAGACACAAGTGAGAGGAGGCACATTCTCAGGCTTGCAGCTTCCTGCGGTCTGCTCTGCATAAGAACATAAGCAAGTATTTGTGTCTCAATTTTTTCTAGAATGGATCATGGATAGTGGGACAGTGGTTGGACAAACAAGTAGAGCTTGCGGGACGACAAGGCAACCAAATCCAGAAAATGCACAGAATAGTGTGACGTGTTGTTTACATTTAAAGGCTTTCAAGGGAGAATTCAATGGCTCAAAACCAATCTCCCGCATCAGGACAAGCTGGTGGGACTATTACCAGCCAGACAATCCATCATCATCTGCATGTCCGTTTCGTCCTTTTCGGTGTGGGGAATCATTTATCGTTTGTGCAAAGGGACTCTCGAATCTCTGACAGAGCTGTCAGGAAAACCGTGGAATCCGCTTGGACGTCAAAGGGAAAGGCCTCAACCTTTTGAAGACTTGTGGCAATTGATCTAACAATGTCCCACCAAACCCGCCGTGGCACTTTGGGTTCAATATTCACATGAAGAGACTGTGGATAGCATTGATCCCAAGCCCGAAAAAAATTATCAATCTTCGCTAAAATGGGGTTGCTCCAATGAAAAGGGAGAAGTCAAAACACAACATCGAAGAAGCAAACGTGGTTTCAAAAGTCCCCAACCTGTGACAATCTCGGATTTATGATGCCGACAAACAAGGGTCTTGGTGTTCCAATCTTCACGCGTTGAGGCAACCATTTTTTCAAGTAATCTGAACCACACTTCTGACAAAAGCACTTCCCCATCTCATCTCCAAACTCATTCCAAAAATGATTTGCACTTCTATCAAACCGACTATTCTGCCTCAGTCGGTCTGAGAACCAAACATAGTCAGTGGCCTTTGGGTCAGCACTTCGTGCCTGAGGCGGAGAGCAACAAATTCAATAAGCCATTTCAAACATTTCAGTTGCTTCACCAATGGCAAAGGAGTGATAAGGACTGTGGAGTGGAAACGCAGCAACCTCCTGAGGTTGTTTCCTCGTTGAACTTGTACCTTGCTGAAAGCAGCAACCTGCCAATACGCTCCACATCTCGCTTCGAATCCTGATTTCAGGGCGCGGCACTCTCGCACCGCCAACTGCGATTTTGTATACATGTGGGCACTCAAGTGCACAGTGATGCTTCCAGGGCTCCGGGTCAAACAGCTCGTAGAGCTCTTCCAACGCTTCTCTCATTTCTGGAATCCTTCGGGCATCTCTGGTTGCAAAATCGAACGCGTGGCAGCCTTGATACAATTAGCTTGCTGCGATGAAGCCAAGCGGCGGAGTTAAGTAGGGCTTGAAGCTGACAGTCACATCCTCCCTGTATGCCCTGTCCGGCATGATGTCGGATGGTTGGGAAGCACTCTCTCATGAGAAAAGCAAAACAACAAAAGGGGCATGTCATACAGGAGCCATGCACGACCTCCAAGCAATACATCGGCTATATGGTTTTTGGTACATCCATTTGTCCGCGCAGAGCCTGAATAAAGCTTCTGTCTTCTGCTTGGCATCTTTTATGGTGCCCAGTGCCTGAAGGATGGCAAGCTGTGGCAACCAACATCTAGGAACCGGCTCCTTCCAATCACGGCGATTTGGCTTCAATGAAACGCGCAACTTCTGAACCTTTTCGGAATTGATATCACCAACAATCTTCCTGTCCAGACGAAAGCAAGTGTTGACTAAATTGCCTTCCACATAACTTTGGTCTTCGTTCACCCTTTTGACAAGAGCACTCCACTCTGACCCTTTGAAAGGCTCTCCTGGATGAGAGATCAATCTCTTCCAACTTCCGGTAGTCGAGGGCTACCCCAATAGCATGGGCCTCCTTTGATGGTTGTGAGCATAAACTTCGCTGAGATCAAACACCTTCTTCCAAGCCTGGCCTCTGCACACAGCATCGAGGTCCACAATACACTCTGCCTGCGGCTGAATCAGTCTTCTTCAGTCACTTGTCCATCGGTCTTCCAATCACCACCTTCTGCCCCAACGAAGTGCGGACTGTCTGCCTCATCGCGAGCCATAGACATCATTTACTAAGATTTACCAAGTGCCAGCTAGTAGGTTGGAGGCCATCGCGTTTAGATTGGAGGCCATTGCTGCTAGTAGGTTGGAGGCCATTCTATTAACAATAACATATAATAATAACTCAAAAAAAGTTAAGCAGCTCTGTTGGCTCTGCTCAACGATCTCTCCTCTTCCCCCGAAAGCTGCCTTCGCTCTCGAAAAGAAAGTTAGCGGGGGCAATACTCAGCAAAACCTGAGTGAAAGCCAGCAAACCAAACACATTGATACAGTTTGAAAGAGCAACAACGCACTGCTATTTTCCTGCGGCATTGGATACAATGAGTCTGTGGAGATTGAATTAGCTCAATGCTGCAAGGGATGAGGGAAGGATCAAATCCTGGCCGTCGAATTTCTCCATGAAGAGACCAAAGTGCTCTTCATCAATTGTCCCATTTGCATGCATCAACCGCAACAGGTTGTAGCTGTGAAACGTGCCATGCATCTTAGCATATGCATCATCTGCAGTGGCCCAAGGTGGTACGAGCCAGGTGTCTCTGACATACTTGCGACCTTCATCGAACTGAGTCATTCTCCAGAACATGGGCCCAGCCGGCTCGTCCTGACCTGGAAATGGATGTCCAAGAAAGGATTCTACAACCCGACAGTAGTCATTGTCGTGCAAAGGTGTCGGGCAATAGAAGCGGACCCTGTACTGAAGTTTCTCAGCACCTGCAATCAAATACCCACCAGGCATGAAGGGTCCAATGCCACCAAATCTGGGTGCAGGAACGCCTGATTGGGCAGTGATGTCATAAATGTTCGTGTCCATTGCTCCTGTGGATGGGTCCCATTTGGTCAAGTAGCTGAAGTCGATCCAACCAGCAGGGCCCATTTGATCAAACATGTACACTCCTCGCAATGGAGGCTGTTCACTTTCAGGGCGTGTTGCCATTGGACCTTTCATGCCATGCTTTTCGAGGAATCTGCGGATCTCCTTGTTTGGAATGACCAAGGGTTTTCCATCAGTTGTCTTTGGAACATACTTTGGCAAGAGTGCACCAGCCGCCGCACACAATGGAGTAACATCCACCTTCACCAAGCCTGTGCCAACCAAAACCGCCAGCAACGGGACGACTACAAGGGAACAGCAGCCGCCGGCCACCATCTTGAAAAGGCTAAAACTTGCCTTCCAAATTGTCGTGGTAGCCTGGTATATTGATTTGACATGAGGGTCAATGGTATGTGATGCTTCTTTGGTTCCATGACAAATGGCGAATAACCGGCAGTTGCTGCACAAGTGTATATATTATATATACACATTAAATAGCAGGCTGCAGCAGGCGCTAAGAAGCCAGCCAACAGAGACGCGGCACATCTCCTGGAAGAGGAATTTAAGTTCCAAGCAACCCTTGAAATTTGGGAAGCTGTCCTCCAAGCTTTCAGCCCAAACGTCATGTTGCTCCTGGCATGCAGCCACAGAATTGCTCATCGCATCAATGCAACAATGTAACATGTAAGCTTCTCAAACCGGTGAACACACATCAGCTCAACATCTGGCACGACATTAAATGATTCATCTGGTTGGGCGGATTGAAAGTCACATTCTGCACGACTTTTCAGCACCTCCTCTTTGCCGCAAGACACGGCGCCGTCATGGCTCCGATGCTTCAAAGCTTCTGGTTCGCATGTGTGACGTCGCTGCCAGGCTGCAGATACGGACAAATGCTTGAGAAGCTGCGTGAGAGGGGTGAAAGGGCATGTCCTCTGGCACCAGGAACAGAAAATATGTGGGACATGTCGTTTCATTTTGGCTGTACTCGGCAAAAGCAAGCCGGGGCGTTTGTTGTGCACAAGCACATTTTCCAAAAGTATGGAAAGCGCCTGAGCTGTGCAATAAATCCTTGGCAAAGCGTATGCCCAAGGAAGGCGTGCATTGGCGGACTTCAGGGCCGAAATGCCCGTGTAGGGCCCAAAGAAAGAAGTCTATTCCGTCGGAATGGTGGCTGCACATTGGAGTGAGGGAAAGTTGACTGCAGAGATTGTGCCAGGACAAGTCCGGAGAAAAGCAGGAGTAGGCGAAGCTGTGGATTCCAAAACACGCAAACTTTGCAAACGATTGCTCCATGTGGTACTAGGGTATATTCGTGTCCCGAATCAAGTAGCTGAAGTCGATCCAGCCAGCAGGGCCCATTTGATCAAACATGTACACTCCTCGCAATGGAGGCTGTTCACTTTCAGGGCGTGTTGCCATTGGACCTTTCATGGCATACTTTTCGAGGAATCTGCGGATCTCCTTGTTTGGAATGACCAAGGGTTTTCCATCAGTGGTCTTTGGAACATACTTTGGCAAGAGTGCACCCAGCGCCGCACACAATGGAGTAACATCCACCTTCACCAGCAATGGGACGACTACAAGGGAACAGCAGCCGCCGGCCACCGTCTCGAAATGGCTTAAACTCGTTAAAGATGTCTCCTTCGCTACCTTGTCCTGGTCAGTTGTTGAAGAAGTGACAACAGTACCACACGCTTTTAAGATCGTGTGAAAGGAGCGACCATTGCTCGGTGTCCTGCCATCTTACTTGGCAGATGCACACAAAGCAAGCGCACTTGCCACAGGTTACTTTTGCCAAGCCAGACAATGATGGTGCTTGCAATTCCCAACATATTGGTGCGCCCCACAAGAAAATGTTTCAATTAGAAGGGTCTCTCCTCGTTAGTGTAACTCGGCCCCAAATTGCAGGATTGGCATTGACTGTCATTATACCAGGTCCGTGCTAAAGTTATGCGCGCCATGCCATCATCCCCTGGCTTTCAATGCATTGCTGCGCATGTATGTTATTTTTGTGCAGTGTAATGATTGTCATGGTTATTGTGGTGATCTAATCCAATGTGTGGCCATCCGTGGTTATATCTAATTAGGTAGACGGGTAGAGACCGAAGGATTCAATCTGCAAATGGTACACCTGGAGGTTTGAACTGGTCACGTCACAGTATGGGAGCACAACACGAGGCAAGTGCATCTACTCTGTGGCTTTTCTGCACAGGTCAAACTCATCGATGTCTTTTGCAGCATGCGGAGCAGCCTGCTTCATCTTTGGACAGTGTGGCAAGTCCCAGCACACTGCATGGACACCGATCAGCTCTTGGTGTGTCCCAACTAACTGACCTCCGCACGTTAAAGTGACCCTGACAGGGACAAAAGAAGGACAAGGTCCTGACCATCGAATTTCTCCATGAAAAGACTAAAGTGCTCCTCATCAATGCTCCTGTTTGCATGCATCAAGCGGAGCAGGTTATAGGTGTGAAACGTCTCATGACTTTCCGCATATGCATCGTCTGCAACGGCCCAAGGTGGCACAATCCAGGTGTCCCTTGTGTATTTTCGTCCCCCATCAACTTGCTTCAGCATCATTCGAAAATGAGTTCGCCCGGCCTCATCCCGGTCTGGAAAGGGATTTCCAGAAGAGGATCCCACTATGAGGCACCGATCACCGTCTCGCACATGCACTGGACAATAGAAGCGCATGGTGGATTGCATTTTCTCAGCACCTGCAATCAAATACCCACCAGGCATGAAGGGTCCAATGCCACCAAATCTGGGTGCAGGAACGCCTGATTGGGCAGTGATGTCATAAATGTTCGTGTCCATTGCTCCTGTGGATGGGTCCCATTTGGTCAAGTAGCTGAAGTCGATCCAACCAGCAGGGCCCATTTGATCAAACATGTACACTCCTCGCAATGAAGGCTGTTCACTTTCAGGGCGTGTTGCCATTGGACCTTTCATGCCATACGTTTCGAGGAATCTGCGGATCTCCTTGTTTGGAATGACCAAGGGCTTTCCATCAGTGGTCTTTGGAACATACTTTGGCAAGAGTGCACCCAGCGCCGCACACAATGGAGTAACATCCACCTTCACCAAACCTGTGCCAACAAAAACGGCCAGCAACGGGACGACTACAAGGGAACAGCAGCCGCCAGGCACCATCTCAAAATGGCTTAAACTCGTTGAAGATGTCTCCTTTGCTACCTGGTCCTGGTCAGTTGTTGAAGAAGTGACAACAGTACCTGCTATGTTTCTTGCAAGCTGCAAATTATAAGCTTGGTTGCTTGAACCTGCAAAGGGCTCGGGAGGTGGGGGTTTGAGGGTCGATGGCCACCACGATGAAAGGATTAGGCTCACTGCCATGCAATTACTCACAGCGCAAAAAACCCAGGAATTCTGTGAGTACTGCCGGAACCAAAAGATGGGAAGCTGAAAGGGGATGGAAACAAATGTGGCAAGGCAAAAGAATAAATGCGATGAAAAGAAGTCAGCGAGAAGAACTGGGGGGAGGCCCCAGAAAGATATGGATTGATCGAATATAAAAAATCCACCAAAGCCAAGTGGAGATTCAAACATGCCGCATGAATGCGCTTTTGCAGTGCTGGATGCACCTTAATTGGGCCCACCCTGGAAAAAAAAAAAGCGAATGGATCACCGCGCTAGCGAGCCTATCGAAATTGACAGGGGCTAGCATAGTCAATTGTGGCCAGTGTGACAAGGGCTCAAAGCTGACATCAAAAATCAGTTGTGATGACTAAAACACCCCGCTCTCTATTAGTTTGGAGGCCATCGCTGGAGGCCATGGCGTCTAGCTTGGAGGCCTATCAACGGTTGTGATGACTGAAACACCCGGTTGCGTTGCCTTTTTAACTGTTGGGCGCACAAGCCCGATGGAGGTGTCGCTCAATGAGACACAATTGCATTGATCACCCATCTTGAATCTAGCAAACCTAGGAACCCCAATATGCTCAGCATGTGGGTGCCCAATACAACCTGAAGCCTCGTTCCATTGAAAGACATCCAGTTCTGGAATGTCTCACTCGAGCATCCGCTGAGGGTCCTTGGATTGGAAATAAAGATCGGGCAAAATCTTCAGGCCATGAAAAACCAAGCTCAGGTCTTAGGATATGCCCTGGCACATTTCGGGATTAACCTAAGGGACAAACTTACTCACTTTGGACTTGGCAGCTCCACATCCACAGTGGCATGAGACGTTCAATCTAATCATCGTTTACATTCATGTGCTTCAGGTATACTTTGGGGAGTAAGAGTCACAGACTGAGCTTCAAGCCAACTGCAGCCCGCCTCCTGAATCAACAAAGAAAGGAATTCTTTGAATGCCAGCATCGACTGGAGCAGTCTAGTTGAAGACAAAATGTGCAGCGTTTGCTCTTTGAGTCACGCCTCTTCTTCTTTTTGGGCTGCTTCTGTTCTTGAGCTTCAGGCTCCTTGAAAGCTTGCGCCCGGTATGAAGCACAGAAGGTACAGCCCTGCGTGTGTACAATTCCGTTGTCACATCTCCTCTGCCTCGGCTTCATTATCTGCAGTCCCACCTTGACCACGAATAGCATCAATTCGATATCAAAGAGAAACATGTTTGCACAAATAAAGCCTTCTTGTTTCTAGTTGGTCTGAGGGGTAGTAAAACAGACATGTTTGGTTGCAAAAGCATTCCTGCAAGGACTAGCTTCCTTGGTAAAGTCCATGTCCCAAGGCGAGCCTTTCAGCAAGGCAAGGGTCCTAAACAATCCGTTGCACCTCCATTCAAGATCTCATCGACGTCATAGTCGATTTCCAACTGCCGAAGCTTTCCCTGTCACTCAATAGGCTTGGTAACTGATCAAATACAGAAAATAACGACTGTTTGACACTAACAGGCCTTGAGTTTCTTCCTGCGCCTCTCATGGTGCTTCACCTTCAAAGGTGACCAGGTTCACAGCTTGCAAATCAGAACAAGCAGCCCAGCCATACCACGATGTATTAGCCAAATCAAGGGTATCAAACTTGCAAAAGACCTGTAAGGTAAAAGGTAAAAGGTAAAACACCTTTCCCGAGACCATCCAAGCCTGGAGCTCTGTGAGCTGTGGCACAGCTTGACCATCGACCTGTGTTCGCAGCAGGACACAGCACAGGACACCGTCTCGTATGCGAAACCCTAGAGTGTCATGCAATGTGGCCTCAAATCGAAGTAAGAAAGGCGCTCATGAGGCAAGAGGTTCGCAAGATCTGGTGATCTCCAAGCATTCCCCATGCCCACCTCGACTGTGGGTCGATCATTTACGGAAAGCATCTGCTTTTCTCGTCGGCGAGGTCTTGGGTCCTCGTGCACCGAGTATCTGCAACACCCGTATCGCTGCTGCAAAATCCTTCGTCACTGTCGTCGTTCTAAGGCCCCTGCAAAAGGCTTCCTTCGCCAGCCCTTGAACATCTTCGGGTGACACTGGCACACAGCCAAACTCCACCAGTCTCAAAAGCCACAAAACTCTTGAAATGATGCTCTAAACGTTCCGATCGCCTCGTCCTTGGGCTTGAACTTGCACACCAGAGACCTGTCACCAAGAAGATACCTTGGCACTGTGATCGGTGCCAAATCAGCCAACAAACAATCTACGTTGGCATGTGTGCCAAATTGCGCAATACACTCTCTCTCTCTCTCTCTGTGTGTGTGTGTGCGCGTGAGATCAACTTGCATCAGACGTTGAGAATACCATGTGGTGATGCAAGTGTTCAAGAAATGGGTCCAACTCTGAGAAAAGGACCCGAAAGAGCACACCAGGCATCACAAGCGTTGCAACACAAACGAAGCACGTATTGCGCATGGGAGCAGAAACTATTCAAGCATGAAGTAAATCAAACCAAGAATCTTGTTCATGGTTTGCGCCACGATCTTTGCAACGCTCTCCTGTCTAAACTCAATGAAGCCGAAGCCCTGGCGTTCGCTCAAACCGACCACATGCTTCTTGTTCCTAGTAGCTTCTTGCTACTAATAGAAATGACAGGAGCTACTAGTAGCTTCTTGCTCCTAGTAGCGATGCCCTTTGTTACTAGTAGCGTCCTTGCTCCTAACTTCCCAACGGCAGGAAAAACCTGTGGGAAAGGCCCTTGCCTTGGACCCGCCAGTTTTTGGCGAGCGAGAGAGCCGAAAGCGGGTGACCTCCCCGAATTGGGAGAAGTACCTGACGGATTCTTAAAGAAAAAAAGACGCTAGTGTGATCTAGTGTGCTCGTGGACACCAGGTCTTCTCGTTGAGAGAACTCACTAATAACTCATGAAATCCGATGGGCACGTCTTCATCTGCGGCTCAAAAAAACCGTTGGGAAGAGAACCTCAAATGTGTTTTGAAGCCACAATAAGCAAGATATGACGTTCTGTTTATAACTAAGGAAGTGTGTGGACTGCGATTGCAATGTTCTTGGAGTTGCTCAATCAGGGGACATATCACATATCACATCGCCAACCACTTCTGTTCTGCTGCATTCCGCTGTCACTTTCCACACAAACAGCGCGAAGATGCCGGGTTTCATGTCTCGAACTCATGGAAACTGTTCGCTGTGTGGCATCAGCTAATGCTCTCTCCAAGTCCATTTGCAGGTTGGCAACGCAATCGTTCTTTGTTGAATCTGCTTATTCCTCATCTTTGGTAATATCAATTTCTTGCAGCTTGCTTCAGCTTGCTTCCCTGCTTTCATGTCTTGTTATTGATGGGTGCAAGCAGTTGAGTCGTGTAGGCTCCAGACCCAAATATACGACTCCTCTGGGCTCGGCTTCTTCATCCTGGACATAAGGTGACTCAGGCTAGCAGCCCTTTGCAGCCCTTTGCAGCTCTTCAGGCCCTTCTGCCTTGTCTGCATCGGCTTCCAACGCTTCTGTCAACCGATTGGCTTTGGTTTTCCGGCGCTTGGGCGCCTCACAGAACTAAAAAGCAGCGCTCCGTTAAGGCTATTCTATGCCAGCTATCAATAAGGACATGCCAGCCCTAATGCAAGAAAACGTCTTCCTAAAATTTAGGAACCGAGTCCAACCGTCATTGAAGAAGTCTGAGCTGAGAGCGTGCCCGGACACCTAGTAACATCGTTGCTTATTTGTACCTACTAACTATATAGTCTTGCCCGCCTCATACTTATTCAGTTTACTGAAGCTCACCTCACGGTGAGCTAAGCCAACACCTAAACCTCACATCAACACAAATAGCTGATGGCCTCCAACCAAATAGCAATGGCCTCCAACCCAATAGCAATGGCCCTAGTAGCGATGGCCTCCACCCTAGTAGCGCCGGTCTCCAAATTAATGATGACCATTTCTTTGGCTTCTGAACTTCTACGGACAAGAAGCGAGGAGATGTATACAATATATAAACAAAATACGGCAACAAGTGAACCATCCGTGGCTTGGAGCAGACAAACACACCAAAGCAAGATTGATGTTATACAACATGGCAACAGGAGTATTACGTGATCAATACACTATACAGGAGGCAAGTTGAGCATCACTGGAACACATGCTCCGCATTCTGCTAGATCTCTGCGAGACAAGACCGGTAATACCAAAACCTTCGTGATATTGCCAAATCTTTTGGTCAAAGCAACCGACATATCTTTCTAGGAGACTTCAACACCAAACTTCTGTGAAGAGTATTGGATGGATAATACAGCTTCATGAACGAACAATACTCATGAACCTCGCGCATTTCTTGCAAACACTTTGCAAAATATGGCAGCCAGATACTTAGCCCCGATTCCACCAAACCATCGGAGAGAGACTTTATCTCCGCAAAAATCTGGCAGCTATTGGAGGCGCGTCAACATGCTGGTACCACTGGCAACGCGCAACTTGCAAGTTCGCAAAGACTAAGTTCAACACCAAATGCGGGATTGAAACATGTTGCAACATGTTGGGAGGCATGGACGTATATGATATGATATGATATGATATGATACGATACGATACGATACGATACGATACGATATGATATATATATATATATGTGTACATACTACTTAAACACAAATACTGTACATGTACACAAAAGGTATACATGTGTGACGTCTAGGAAAATAGCATGGATGTCAAATCCGACTCCTGTGCCCCAAACAATCGATGAACTCCATGCAAACATTCTTTTCTTGGAGATGTACACACTACGTAAAAGAGAAGGCCCCCCAAACACTCCAAGGAATAGGCAACAATGGCAAGGCGTTTCCGAGCGTTTTGACTATTGCTTAAGGTTTCACTACTAGTAGGAGTAGGACATAGTAGAACGCACTCTCTGCTCAGGTTTCTTCACCTCTAGAAGCGATGGCCTCCAACCTGCTAGCCATGGCCTCCAACCTACTAGCAATGCAGTCTTGAAATCCCTCTGATTCCCTCTGCTCATCTGGCATTGAAGGAATTATTTAAGGTCTCGACCGGTTTGGCGGCTTCCATCAGTTTCTAAGCCTGAGCCTCACCAAACTACGATCCAAAGCCATGCGTGTAGAATGTTTCTTTAAACGCAATGTAGCTTTCTGCAAGTGCTTGGCCGCTACACTCACTGAGTTGACAACTGGATCCATGAATCGGTTTAAGGTTTCAATTTGTGAAGCAGCAGCAGTCAGAACAAAAGGAAAGTAGGATTAAGGCCAACTGCAACTTGTCCACACTTCAGGCTGGGACTGGCCCCACAGCACATTTGCAGGGCATCGCTTCTTGAGCAAGACCGGATATAGAGCAGAAACGTTTGCAAAGGTCTAAGTGATCTAAATTGAACATCTTGTCACATCCCTGCATACTCAAGAACTATTTATATATATATATAAGAAGAAAAAGTTCCTTTCAAACACTTTTTGCAGTAACCCATTCGTTCTAGGATCGCCTGCAGGCTCAGCTATACAAAACTTCTTACTACTCATTGGCCATTCACACAGCTACTCAGTGTTATTCATCGGTGATATCAGTTTCGTTTAAAAAATACATAAAATAGAATAAATACATACAGTAAATTGCCAGCCAAAAGGAAGCTGATGTCTCTGCTGCAAACTCTCGCTTTTGGAGCACGCGCCGCTCATCGAAAGTTGCTGAGTTTTCTTGTTTGGATTAGCTCTCAACCGCTCTCCACACCGTTCTCTTCTCAGGTGTGCGGAGTTCCAAGGGGTCTTCTTTGGCCCTTCCAGCGCGTTCGCTGAAACCTATGCAGGTGTGAGGGTTCGCTTGTGTTCCGACTTCGACCCCACAACATGAAAAATAAATATCAAAGTAGATCAAAGTAGTTCTATTAGTTCTACTGTACTGAGGTGTTTCTCATGCCATGTGGTATGCAGATTGGGTGCCGGGCATAAACTGATGGTTTTGTCGGACCTGGCAAACAACGATGGTGTCTCGTAACATGTGCATTTTCAAATGCACAGAGCTGGAAAGCGCACATTATGAATCCTCCGCTCAATGGCTTTGTTATAGGCTTCTTGGAAGCCCAAATCCTGCCAGGCTATGTAATTGAAAGCTTTGACTGGCTCTGACTATTGTGACCCATTCAATGGTGACTGGCACAGGTATCGCTGCTATGGTCTTGTCCTCGGTGCTGAACATGGCATACGTCTTTATGCCACAGTTGCTCCAGCGGGCCACCCATGACTTCTCCTTCAAAGTTGTCAAGGATCATTGTGCAACACAAGTAAGAATGCCCACAGCGGATTCTGAACAACATCATACCACAGTATTGGCACACACGTCTGCTGACAAACGCAACAACTTGAAAATGGACAACCTCTCAAGAGGTGGATGATCCCTCAATACACGTACTTTGGGCTGCAAGTTGTGTGCAGTCTGAGGTGTGCGCTTTGAATAAGGCACTCGAGGTTAGGTGCATGGAACAAACATGTTTCGGTTCCTGTTTGTCAAAGAAAACCCCACGGACACCACTGCGGCACTGGTCTGGCTTGGGTGAACCCAGCTTGCCTCAAACAAAGTCGCATGCGCAGAGCGATTTTATCCAATCAAATCAAGCTGACATTGAAGTCCGTCCCATATTCCTCTCTGGAAAAACCACAGCATGCGCAAAGTTTCATCCAATGCCAAACTCAACAACATAGATTGTTACCACCCCACCACTAAGCCTAGTACCACCAAGCTGCAGCTGCTTGAAGAAAAGGATGGCGCGAGTGCGGCCTGGCGAGAAGATGAAAGAGAAACAAAACTTGTCAAAAAAGAATTGACGGGTCCTTTTGTTATTATCTCAGCCTCTCTTGTCTTGAGATCCAGCCTTGCTCAAATTGGCTGCCCCTGGCATTAAACCATCTAAAGACCTGCAGGAGGCCGAGTCGGGCACGGGGCTCTCGGCTAGCACACATGGCTGAATCTTGTTCATCTTGGGCATTCTCATTGTAATCTTTGAGCTTGACATTTTGCAAACCTCCCTACCTGCACACCATGCCGGTACCACATAACCTGCATAAACCACACCCGTGCTCAACATGTTGCAGCAGCAACCAGCAAAAATGATGCAAAAAAACAGAGCCACAGGAGGTCTTGTCTTCTGTCTTCTGAGATTGATGCCATCCAACGTCTCATACGATGGTCGTAGATCACCTCGTACATGTCAGTCTGCACTGGCGAATGGAAAATCCTCTGACGCGCTGGCATGTCGACGGCTATTTTCATACCTCAGCAGCATGTCAAAAAATTCAAGAAGCAACTAACATCAAGGTCAGGCATGTGCTAAGTGCCCCACAGCGGTATCCGCATACGAAACTGATCCCTCGGCCAATACATTTCCATCCGCTTGCCCAGTCCCTGCAGCAGTTTTCATTTTGTCCAGATGAAAGCAGGAATTGCAAATGGTGCTGCCACAGCATACAGTACATTGTACCTTGAACGGCTATTCTTGAGAAAACACTTTGACTGAAACGACACAAACAAAGCAACGGACCATAGCTACCTGCCTTCTGGTGGACTGTGCGGGGACGCGACTGGCAAAAATAGCTTGCAAGTTGAAGCAACTGTTGTCACGCTTCCACACTTCCAAAGTGCCAGGCCGGCATTCTTCCGCCTCTGTTTCAGGCCCAATTTTCGGCCTGCAAAGCGGACCTGGCAAAGACCAACATCTACAGATCCAAAATCTTTCACCTTTCCTACTAGCGATGGCCTCCAACCCACTAGCGATGGCTTCCAACCTACTAGCGATGGATGGCCTCCAATCTACTAGC